AAAACATCTAAATCTCTACATATATTTTTTTACTGTTTTCAGCTTGCAAGCCTTTTAATAATCAGGTATTTGCTGTTCACTGACATTAAAATGAGGTAAAAATTCACTGTGTTGTCTAACACACATGGTTTAATCACCCAGGTTGTAGCTGGAGACCTTTTATTGGAGCATGATTTCATCTTCAAACCATCCCAATATCCACTTGTGTACAGTAAGTTACCCATTTATAGGTTTCTAATAAAAGCAAATCTTCCCTAAGTGGCTATTACTGGATTTCTCCGTTCAGCCTGGGGATAAGCAGGATTCTGGGCTTTAAAAAGCTCTCTAGTGGGCTGAATAAGAAAGTGACAACTGAAGAATGTCATGGCAAAACTCCGGTGTGTTCTAATTACAGCACTGTTAACGAGGGGAACATTTGTCAGAGCGGAGCTTCATCACGTTTAGCACAGACACAGAAAGCTCCCACTCACACTGTGACAATTTTCTCTCCTCTCCAGGCAGATGCCACAGGAGGGGGTGTCTGCCAGCACAAGGTAAATTCCACCATCTGGAAAGAATTATTTTCTTTTTTTTTTTTTTCATTTTAATCAAGGACTTTAAGGAATTTGCACACTCGATTGCTAAAGAAAAATGATGCATTTATTTTCTTTTTAAAAATGACCCAAAGTACAACTTCAAGAAATCTGCTCATTACATTTAGATACATAGTTTGAGACTTGACTGATTTCCAGAATGTTCCTCCACGGTTATATATCCACATGCACCTCCAATGTTTTCCACATTCCCCACCCCATCACACCTCATCACAACATTTCTAATAAAAAGGCAAAGCTGCAGATTCTGAGCACTGCTGACATTTAGCTGGAACATCTGCAATGTGTAAGAGCTCCTGAACAGGAACGTGGCTGCAGGGAGGCTGGTAAAACCCTGAGTGCTGTGTGTGGGGAGGCTCTGGGACAGCACAGGCTGCCCAACCCTGCCAGCCCCTCTGATTTGGAAAAAAAAAAATCCAGGAAAATATTCTGGAGCCACCAGATTTTCTCCTGGTACAGAGGGAGTTACAGAGCTGGAGGCATCGGTGGTGGTGTGGAACATGAGAGCTCTCTAATGAGATGTAGGAGATGTGTTTATTTCTACAAACTGCCCTTAAATTAATAAAAAAATTAAAATCAAGTGGTGTCTGTGATCCTCAGGCTCTGCACAACTCCTG